ATCTTCCATAACTCATGATAGCATGAAATAGTAACAAATGAGATTTATAGCTTACAAAAATGTAAGATATTGTTGTAAAAAAATATTACTGATGAATGGTAAACGGCTTACAACATTGAAAGAACTGTCATAAGTAGGGTAGAAACAACTGGAAAAACAGATCTTCAATCCTCAAAGTAACCATTAGCTTTGTATTTAATAGCAGGGAATGAAGAAGATGAGCACTGCAAGGAGTTATGGAACTTCATGCTTGCTTTCAAATTTTGTTTTAGAAAAAAATTTATATGAAAAAACAAAAAGTAAATTTCTTTTTTTTTTTTTTAATTTTTTTTTCGTTTAACCAACAATTTATTATTATGTGATTTAGTGTGATGATAGAGTAACCAACACACTACCTCCTCTTTATAATTAATAAAACACACTGCAATTAAAGTATAAAAATATGATTTGGAAAAGAAAAAAAAAAAAATTTGTTGTCATGTGAATAGAAAAGTAAATGAAAAATAGAAGATGTAAGGTGAAAAATAACAACAAATGTTTTGTAGTGCATAACATAAGAAACATTAAAATAATAATAATAATAAAATAAAATAAATAAAAAATCCAAGAATGAGAGATCAAAGAAGGAAAAGAAAGAGAATAGAAAATAGTGGTTACTTTTTAAAGCTTAATACGTTTGAAAAATAGGACCGAAACATAGGAATGGCAAGCGAAATGATAGGAATGGGATTGATGCCTTTTTAAAGTATTTGCAGTTTGTCGGGTTAAAATATACAGTGTGTGTGTATATATATATATCTGTAGTTTATTGTATTAAAATATTGTCTTTACCTATCAACTTGGCCTCTTTTACAAGGCTAATTTGGAAGCGGGATTCAACTGTTTAGGGTCATTAGGCACGTCTAGGCTTTTGCTCGTGGTAAAACTAATTGGGCCATCAGTCCTGCTCCGTAATTTTTGTAACATAGATGTGGAGGGAAAAATCTCCCCTCAATAAGAATTGAACACATCATCACTATATAAATCTACATTTGGTAGATTTCAGAAGCCCATCCGAATTAAGCCCAAATTATATTATTCTTTAACCCAATATCATTTGTATTGGACCTCCAAGGCCAAGTAAAAACATTAATCAGCCCAACGTCACTACTGTTGAAGTTTCGGCCCATTGGTCAAGTCATTTAAACCGAGTTGCATCCGGCCCAAGTACAATTAAATATTGTCCAGTCCTATTAAGCAAAGATTTCAACACAGAAGGAAAGTTCTATACAAAGCAAGTTCTACGTAGGAAATATTATACAATAGAAAGAACTCTATTTGTAAAGAAAGTCATGTATGGGAAGAATTGGAGGACAAGTAACGCGAGTCCTACCTTAATTCTACAAATTTTTGTGTATAAATAGAGGCCCAGATCTCCAATAAAAGGATCCAAGCAATTCTATACTTCTCTATACATTGTTCTTGTTTATTTTTACTATTCTTGAGTGTGTTCTATTATATTTCTCAATCGCTATTGGTTGAGCGGAATTTTGCACCTACACTTTAGCGCCATTTGTGGGAAGCGTGTACAAATATAATCCCACTCTTATTTCACAAGTGAATCCTGCAACTACCATCCGGAATGTCGAACGGAGGATCTTCAACAGATCAACAGATGGAGTTGATGCAGAAGATGCGTGAAGAGTTTCTACACTAGTTTGACGTACTTCGTCAAGCAAACAAAGCTAGCATGGCTCAAATCGCCTTGCTTCAACAGCAGAATAACACTCTGCAAACGGCGATGGCTCAGTTGGCACCACCGCCATCACTAGGTGACACAGCAGCACCCCCTAATCAGAATATTCCTCCAGTTAACGGGCTTCCACCTAATGGGGCACGACCCAACGAGGCTCAGCCGAACGAGGTTTAGCAACAACAGAGGGCAAGGTCCGAGGCTGTTGCCTCAAACAACGTCCCTCGTCGCACGCAGGACGAGCAAGTCGAGTCTAGCCATAAGCTCACAGTGTGGTCCAATGGAATTCCAGATGGTGAGGGTGTTCAGGATGCCTTTGATGAGAAAAGATTCCTGAAGATTCAGACACCTGCTGAGATGGTTATAGAGCACAAAAACTCCCTGGTCAAAATTCGTTTCATTGACGATGTGTATATGGTTGAGAGGCCAAAGAAATTTACCATGCCTTCTTTTACTCAGTTTGACGGTACGGGAGATCCTTCTCGGCACCTAGATCATTACGCCCAAAAGATGGTTTTGGATAACCGTAATTACCCTTAGATGTGTAGAGTTTTTCCTATCAGCCTGACAGGAGCAGCACTAGAGTGGTTCAGGAATAGGCCACATAAATCCATCCCGGATTACGTAACTCTGTGCACCATGTTCCTAGCACAATATTGCGAAATTAAGAAGTAAAAGAAGAGTATTGCTAGCCTCTTCACCGTAAGGCAAAAGAAGGGGGAAACACTGCAGGATTTCTTATCTAGATTCAACATGGAAGCCTCGAAAATAGCAGACTGTCATCCCGCGACTGCTATAGAAACATTTAAACTTGCAATGATTCAGGGGACGAAGTTTCACACTTCCTTGGTCAAGTATTCTCCTCCCGACATGCAGACTCTTAATGCCAGGGCCCAGATCTACATTTGGCTCGAGGAAAATGTAGCCCACCCAGCACAGCACACCACCCTCGTGACAGTGGAGAACAAGCCTCAAGAGAGAATTCCAAATTCAAAGATTCAAAAAAGTCAACGCGCCTCAACGCCGATCACCCAGGCACCTAAGAAGCGGCAAAGGATAGAGGAAGGGTTTACACCTCTCCGAACTACCTTAGCTCGGCTCTTCCAAGAGAATAAAATGAAGTTCACAGCCCCGCAGCCAATGAAGCAACCCTTGGAGCAGAGGGACAAAAGCAAGCATTGCGCTTATCACTGAGATTATGGGCATTCAACCAATGATTACAGATCCCTTAGGCGACAAGTGGAGAATATGATAGCCAGAGGTGAGTTGGCAGACTACCTCATGACAAAGGAGTATGTGAAGCCCCGCGAGGTCTATCCTCGTAAGGTAGAAGGAACTCAGGTAAAGGTCATTCATGCAATACATGGCAGATCTGAAGATGATCAAGAGTCCGAGGTGATATACAGATCCAGATTGAGGACAGCCCATAAGGTCAGGAAGATATCCTCAATCAATGCTATCGCTTCGGGTAGTATCAGTATTGGATTCGGTGATGGCGACCTATCCAGAGTTCAGCTCTCCCATGAGGATCGGTCATCAGTCTTTTAGTGGCAAATTGCATGATCAAGAGGGTTTTGATAGACCCAGGGAGTAGTGTCAACATCATCACAAAGACGGTCTTTGAGCAGCTAAAGATCCCGTCATCATCTATTCGACCTACCTCCAGCCCATTGATGGGGTTTGATGGCATAAGAGTAGATCCCTTTAGAGTAATGACTTATTCGTAACTGCGGCGAAGAGGACTCTGAAGGAGATCTTTGTCTTAACAAAGATCCATCATTCTTATAATCTCATCATGGGAAGAGGCTGGATACACCGGATGAGAGGAGTTCCGTCCACCCTTCATCAGGTGATGCGGTGCTTGTCTCCAGACGGAAAAGAGGTAATTAAACTATGGGGCGATCAAGTCGCTGCGAAGGAATGCTATATGCTGACACAGGCTAAAGCAAAAAAGGTGTCTAGACAGCTCCAACCAGGTGTGACTTCCAGAAATATACTCAAATAGCAATTACAGAGTCCTCTGCCCAAGTATCTTACGGTAGAGGAGGAAAAAGAAATTGCGAAGCCTATCGAGGAGACCCTCGAAGCCATAGAAGTTATCCTCGGTGACCCTCAGAAGGTCACTTATTTAGGTTCTTCTTCCACGTCCGAAGAAAAGGAAGCATTAATTGATGTTATTCGGAGTAATGCAGATGCTTTTGCATGAGATCACTCGGACATGGTAGGAATCGATCCTTTAGTCTCCTACCATAGCCTGAAGGTGGATCCGGAGTTCAAACCAGTTAAGCAGAAACACCGAAGGTTTGCCCCTAAACGTAATCGCATTATAGCTGAAGAAGTGAACAAGTTATCGCAAGCAGGTTTCATTCAAGAAGTGCAATATCCACAATGGCTATCAAACGTGGTGGTCGTACAAAAGAAGAATGGAAAGTGGATGGTTTGTGTAGACTATACCAATTTTAACAAAGCCTGCCCTAAAGATAGCTTCCCTCTGCCAAAGATAGATCAGATGGTTGATGCTACTACTGGCTATAAGAGGCTGACATTCCTTGATGCGTACTCGGGATACAATCAGATTCCTATGAACTCAGAAGATGAAGAGAAAATGGCTTTCATTACAGAAAAGGGGACTTATTGTTACAGGGTCATGCCCTTCGAGCTGAATACCGCCGGAGCCACTTATCAACGCCTTGTTAACAAGATCTTTGACAATTTGTTAGGGAAGACGGTTGAAGCATATATAGATGACATGGTGGTCAAAAGTGTGAAGAAGGAAGACCATCCGAAGCACCTCCAGGAAGTTTTCAATACTCTGAAGAAGTACAATATGAAGCTGAATCCATCTAAGTGCTTCTTTGTAATATCATTAGGTCAATTCCTCGGCCATATAGTGAATAAAAGAGGGATAGAGGTAAACCCGGCTCAGGCTAAGGCCCTTATGCAGAATCAGGAACCAAAAAATCGTAGGGCGGTGCAAGTTCTTACCGGTTGGATCGCAGCCTTCAGCCGGTTTATATCTCGATTATCAGATAAGTGCAAACCATTCTTCGATGCCATAAGATCTAAGAATAAGGATATATGGGGACCTCAGCAGCAGCAGGTCCTCAATCAGTTGAAACGTTATATGGCCGAACCTCCAATTCTATCTGCTCCAAAACCCGGATAGGTTCTTATTATGTACTTAGCAATTTCTAGCATAGCGACAAGTGCAACATTGATTAGAGAGGAAGGAAAGATTCAACATCCAGTCTTCTACACAAGTAAGACAATGAAAGATGCAGAGACACGGTATAGCAAAGCGGAGAAAATCATCCTAGCCTTGGTTTATGCCAAAAGGAAGCTTCGGCATTATTTTGAATCTCATAGCATCGTGGTACTCACCAACTATCCTATGCGGGGTATACTCTCTAAACCAGATCTATCTGGGAGAATTACCAAATGGGCTATCGAGCTCAGTTCCTTCGACATAACTTATGAGTCGAAGGTGTCGCACAAGGGACAAGCCTTAGCAGACTTTCTTTTAGACTATGAAGACACTCCCGAAGAGCCAGAACTCCCTGAACCACAGTGGGAGCTTCGGGTCGATGGCTCCTCGAACCAAACAACTGCAGGAGTTGGGGTTGTTATATCAACACCCGAAGGCACCAAGTTGCAGCAGTCCGTTTGCTTGAATTTCCCTGCTACAAATAATAAGGCTGAATATGAGGCGTTACTTGCTGGTCTTCGATTAGCCAACAGCCTTCAGGTACGGTGTTTAAAAGTTTTTAGTGACTCACAGCTTGTTATAAATCAAGTGACAAGTCAGTATCATCCCAAAGAGGAAAGGATGAAAGCATATAAAGAAGCTGTGGAGAATGTTACACTAGGATTCTATCAAGTCGAATTCCACCAGGTACCTCGTGTTGAGAATGTTGAAGCAGATCAATTGAGTACGGCAGCGTCATCCTCAAATGAAGATCTAACTCGGATTGTACCAATTGACGTCCTGGACGAACCCAGCATCAACCCTCAGCAAGAAGTAATGGTGATTCCAGTCATTCTGCGAGAACCATGCTGGATTGATCCATTGGAAGCCTACCTCAAGCATGGGACTCTTCCAAGCCAGAAAAATGAGGCGCGGAAGCTCAGACTCACCGCAGCTAAATATGTCATCATCAACAACTAGTTATACCGGAAATCATTTTCAGGTCCTTACCTGAAATGTTTAAGCCCTACTGAGGCTCTTGTGGTATTGAAACAGATTCATGATGGAGATTGCGGCAACCACTCTAGAGGCAGATCCCTTGCACATAAGGTTCTAACTCAAGACTACTTCTGGCCGTACTTGGCCCGGAATGCTGAAGAGTACGCCCGGAGATGTGATAAGTGTCAGCGCCATGGTCCAATGAAGCATCAACCTGCCGAAGATTTACATGCAATGGCAAATCTATGGCTGTTTGCACAATGGGGGATTGATATGGTGGACCCGTTACCAAAGATCGTGGAACAAAAGGAATATGTGCTGTTGGCTACAGACTATTTCACAAAATGGGTGGAAGCTGAGGCTTACTCAAGTGTGACTCATGAGCAGGTAAAAAGTTTTCTTTAGAACAACATCATTTGCCGGTTTGGGGTACCAAAAGTCATTATGATGGACAATGGTAAAAACCTCGACAATAAGAGTACAAGAAAATTCTTCGCTGAGCATGGAATTGTACAAAAGCTAGCTACAGTCAGTCATCCACAAGGGAATGGACAAGCTGAAATAACTAACCGAATCATTTTTCAGTTGTTTAAAGAAGAAGTTGGAGAAACTCAAAACAAAATGGTACGAGAATCTCCCTCAGGTGCTTTGGGCGTACCGAACCACACCACGGCGGCCCACAGGGGAAAGTCCATTTACCATGGCTTATGGATTGGAAGTTGTGATCCCAACCAAGGCGGCAGTTCCAACCCTTCGGACATTCTTATTACTTGAAGGAAACAATGGTCAGCAGCTCGAACACAGCCTCGATCTCTTAGATGAGAAGAGGGATGCTGCAGTAATTAGGCTTGCTTCATATCAGTAACAGTTGCACAGCAGTTATAACAAACACGTAAGGTTTAAGAGCTTTGTGGTAGGCAATTGGGTTTTGAAGTAAGAGACAGCTCATGTAAAGAAACTGGAACCTAATTAGACTGGACCTTATAGGGTTACCGAAGTAGTGGGGAAGGGAGCATATCGTTTGACCGAAGCTGAAGGATGTCCCATTGCGCATCCTTAGAATGCAATACACCTTAAAAGGTATTACCATTAGATAAGTTTGTCAATTTTGCTAGTAATTCTTCACAAATAAGGCTGCTTATGCCCACAGTCAATCAGGTTTTTTCTTTATGCTGCTTCTATCGTATTCAGTACAATTCTACTTCATTTATTTCTTTCCATAAAAATGGGGGCCATACTAGTACCCTATAATTATAATTATGCGATTGTTATGCATATTCGTGTGCCAAGACGCATTATGCAATTTTTATGCAAAGCAATGCTAAAATCAAGTTATTAAGAAGCATTCTTCAAAATGATTCTTTTTTAAACCCAAGTTATGGCCTATTTAAAGCTCTCTATCCCACATCGATAAATTTAAACCCAAGTTATGGCCTATTTAAAGCTCTCTATCCCACATCGATAAAAAAGTATGTTTTACCTTCTGTTATATATGGGAATATTCAAATAGTTGACTGTAGTGTAAGGAGGGCCCACTGGTATTAAAGGCCACCAAGCCCAATACCAGAGGCATTCTTTACACTGACTTTTTTGACAAAGTTTAATCTATGTCCCACATCAGATAGAAGTACAAAAGAAATGCAGTTGATATATGCGTAATCCACTACATTTGGTTGCCAAGAAGGGAGTCTCAGTGGTAGAAAGTCTCCAAAATAACAAATAGGAAACTTCCCAACCACTGTTACTCGCTTTCTTGGCCTCCTATCATTTTTGAGTCTTCGGCCTCATGACAAGTTGTTTAAAAATAAATAAATATATATATATATGCGATAGCTCAGCAAACCTCCCCTCAGGCTCAGCGCTGGGGAGTAATTCACTCGCTTCGGACCCTAAGTGTCCAGCTCATCAAATCTCCCCTTAGGCTCAGCGCCGGGGAGTAATTCACTCGCTTCGGACCCTAAGTGTCCAGCTCAGCAAACCTCCCCTCAGACTCAGTGCCGGGGAGTAATTTATTCGCTTCGGACACTAAGTGTCCAGCTCAGCAAACCTCCCCTCAGACTCAGCGCCGGGGTGTAATTCACTCACTTCGGACCCTAAGTGTCCAGCTCGGCAAACCTCCCCTCAGGCTCAGAGCCGGGGAGTAATTCATTCGCTTCGGACCCTAAGTGTCCGATTCAATAAAACTTACTCTTACGCCCAGCACCGAGGTCTTGTGAAGGTCATACTCATTGACTCTAAGTTCGGTAATATGAGCCACGAGATTATCCCATATCAAAAAAATACAAGAAGAAACAAGTATAAACATACTTACTTCACACAAATCCATTTCAAGAAGGGTTCCCTTGACGGTTAAATCACCAAAGGAAAAAACAATCCTCTGTTATTAGGTAAACCGTCAGAGGAGATCCCTTCTTCACATTTTATTTAGTTTTGCTTCGGACTAAAACAAATGTGGAACCCTCAGGCAGGGTACTTTCCTTAAAATTATCACATCCGACAAAGTGTGTGCAATATTAAAAGCATTCAAGTATACTCAGTCGAAGCAAAATTAAGGCATCACAGCTTAAGAAACATGGTTTTATCATTCATAATTGCTATTCCAAATATTGTTTCATTATAAAAAGAACAAGATTACTTGAGCCTACTTCCTCTTCGGATCAAACGGGGTAGATTCAAAAGCATCCACCACAGCTGGACTTGCAGGTGGAGGATTTGATGGGCCAGGAGCAGCTAAAGGAGTTGAGACACTTAGAGCTGAAGGGACTTCAGGATGAGCCTTCACTGTCTCGGCGAAGAGAACTTTAGCTTCCTGAGCCTTTGGACCCTCATCATAAGGGAAAGACACCCCCATATGAGTATCAAAAGCCTCGGGATTTGTTGTTTTCTCGCCTGAACCTTGGTTGAAGCCGGACATGTAGGCCTTGGCGCTAGACAAGTGCACTAGAGTGGAGTAACGCCCTTGCATCTGCCTCCCTGTAATGATGCAGGTGCTAAGGGCATCATTCAAACGCTGGACCTCAGCCTCCAGCGACTCCACTTTTGCATCAGAAGCAGCCAAACGCTTCTTATAAATATCCCTAGCTTCATATGCAATTTGGGCATTTGCAATGGCATGGGATGCCTTCTTCTCAGAATTGCTAAGGTCTTTCTCCAACTTCTGAATGGAGAGAGACTGAGCCTCAGCGGTGGCACAAAGAGCCATGGTGTGATACAGGCCCTGCATTGTCAGATAGAAACAATAACGATATAAAAAAATTGGTGAGATGATTATGACAATGGAAGAAGAGGGGAGGAGCAAACCTCTATGGCTCGAACAGGGGCAGAAGGGAGTAGCTGTTCCAATCCCATCCTACCAATAATCTCTTCATCCTTGGGGAGCCACATTCCCCAAGCAACAGCTAGCGCTGCAGATGGATCAGTGATCATAGAATCACTGGTATGGAGGACGGACCTTTCAGCCGTAGAGAAAGAAGGAGTCCAAGGTGCTCCAGCCTCAGCAATGACATAAGCTCTGACCTTCTCTTCAAGATTAGTCTCTTCAGCCTTCTTTCCTTTACTTTTTGGGTTGGAAGCGCCTTTGGATTTCGTGGTTGAAGAAGAAATCAACCTCGCCTTTGGATTTCGTGGTTGAATTTCGTCAATCTCCTTCTCCTGTTCATTTGAGCGCAATATAGTTAATGGGGCACTCTCTGCAGCCTTTCTCTTAAAGGCTTCAGCCCTTTGTTTTTCTTCCTCAGTCATGGGGAAGCTGTTGAAAGATGGAAGTGAGAGGTCCATGAGATCAGCAGCTACGGCTCTGGAAGTAACTGCTTTAAGGTTTGCAGAGGTAAGCAAGTCCTCAACAGAAGGAAGGTCTCTCCAAACCTGCTCTTCAAGGAAAGAAAGCCTCTTCTTGGCAGCAGAGGAAGGGAATGTCACTGAAAAAATGCCAAGAAACTTATAAATATACTGAAAGAATAAGACTCAACATGGGAAACAGCCAGAACAATCTTCATGAAGAGAAGGGGGACGTTCTATACCTAACTTCCCGAACTTGTGTAGGATTGGGAGTTTGTTCGATTGAGGCGCGGCCCATCTCCCTTTAACAATTATCATCCTCTATTTCCACTTCTTTTCAAAAATAGGGAGGTCTATACATATGCTTTGGTGTAAGGGAGAGGTTAAATAGAAGCGACCAGGTTCGGTCCATGCTTAGAAATAGTGTAAGTGATTAGTAAGTCAGCCAGAGTCAGGTCAAGACTCTCCAACCATCGGCGAATGAGGAGTGTCGAGATTACTTGAATGAAGTTAGGGTTTACTTGTAGGGGTGCAATCCCCAATTTGTTAAAGACTAAATAATAAAAGGGATGAAGGGGGAATCTAAGAGCGTTGAGATGCCCAACAGAGAGGAGCAACTCGTCTTCTCCGACGCCCTCGCTGGCACAAAAATCGGCGCTCTTGGGGTATTCTACAATTTCTACCCCCTCGGGAATCTCAAAATCTTCCATTACGGATTCAATGGAAAACTTGATACGACAAACAGATAAAATTGCGTTCCTTTCTTCCTTAGTAAAAATACTGTCCGACCCAGAGGTGGATGTCTCAGCCTGGATTGGGGAAACATCCAGCTGATTAACCGAGTCATTTGTAGACTTAAGGAAGTTTGAAACCCTAAGAGGAGGAACCCTAATGAGATTAGGGGAGGACGAGGGTGTGGACTCAGAATCTACGATTTCTATACGTTCAGGAGTAGTCAAAGTACTCATAATGCAGGATTGGAAGAAGGGAAAGAAGAACTAACCTGGAGATATGAGAATGTGAAGAACGCAATGGACGGAACGAGCACACTGAGAACAAAAGCAAGTCTTGAAGAAGTCCTTGAGTCAGAATAACAATAGACACAAATGGAAACGCCTCGTGCGAAAGTGACAACTGCACAACTTCAATTCCCCTTTAATTAGGAGCCGTAACCCAATTAAAGAGGAATTGGGGGCAAAGTGTGGAGGGAAAATTCTCCCTCTAATAAGAATTGAACACGTCATCACTATATAAATCTACATTTGGTAGATTTTAGAAGCCCATCCGGATCAAGCCCAAATTACATTATTCTTTAACCCAATATCATTTGTATTGGACCTCCAAGGCCAGGTAAAAACATTAATCAGCCCAACGTCACTACTGTTGAAGTTCTGGTCCATTGGTCAAGTCATTTAAACCGAGTTGCATCCGGCCCAAGTATAATTAAATATTGTCCAGTCCTATTAAGCAAAGGATTCAACACAGAAGGAAAGTTCTATACAAAGCAAGTTCTACGTAGGAAATATTATACAATAGAAAGAACTCTATTTGTAAAGAAAGTCATGTATCGGAAGAATTGGAGGACAAGTAACGCGAGTCCTACCTTAATTCTACCAATTTTTGTGTATAAATAGAGGCCCAGACTTCCAATAAAAGGATCCAAGCAATTCTATACTTCTCTATATATTGTTCTTGTTTATTTTTACTATTCTTGAGTGTGTTGTATTATTTTTCTCAATCACTATTGGTTGAGCGGAATTTTGCACCTACAATAGACACGCTGAATATTCATCAACTCTTTTGTAGTTCAATTATATTACAAAGTTGACAGATTCCTTCTCCTTGTTTTCCAATCTTTGAGAGCCAAACAGAGTATAAAGAAACTCCCAAAACACACTGATTTCCAGTGTAATTTATACAACTTTTGTAACAAACTTCATTCAATGTCTTGATATTTACTATATAAAAAATAGCCGAATAGAATTGGCTTCTTGTTGGATACAGAATGAATTTAATATAATTATCATACCTAGTAGAATACTTTTACAGATTCAATGATCTCTGGACCCAATATTTGTCACCCCAATT